GATATGTGCCAGCCTTAACCCAGGTACATGGTACCCACAGACCCAGACACCTAGACACACACACCCTCTGAAGAGTCCTAATCACAGGACAACGGCACCTGTGCTTCTTATGACATTCTACCCAAGACCATTAGCAAGATACGTGGACCCACTGCCCTTGAGTGCTCTGAGACACATTGGTGTGACCATCATTTAGAGCACCTGGCTTGGGAAGTGTTACAGGACATACATATTTTCACCTGAGCAAGCATCACAGATGCTAATGCTGACAGCACCAGGTGGTGACATGTGACATACAAACATGCATATGTCCATGCACAGATGCTTACAAGAACACTGGGTGCCAGCACTCTTGCAAGCATAGATACACAGACTTCATAGTGAAGGAGTTGCACCCCCACAAGTTTTCTGGTTTGGGAGAGATGGGTCTACAGGGGCCACGTGGACCCAACACACCCAGGTACACGTGTGCATTCACTCCCACTTGTGCATGGAGTGGGCAGGATGTAAGTGGCTGAGGCACAGCAAGGGCATTCCTCACAGGGAGACAAGCTGGAACTTGGAGGCTGGCTCTGGGAGAAGGCTGTCAGGCTGAAGGGCAGTCGTGTGGGCAGGCTGGACTAGAGTGGGCTGTGCCCAGCAGTGTGCCGTCTTCCCTCTAAGGACTCTAGCCTTGGCTACAGATGACAGGGGGCTGTGCAGTCACTGGGGATTTTCAAAAGGTCACTGCTCAAAAAGTGGGAGGATGTGAGGGTAGAAAGGACTTAGAGGCTGGCAAACTGGTTGGAGGCCTGGGCAGTACCTGTTAGAGTGGTCCAGAACTCCCAGATACAAGTCAGGGGTGTGGAAAGGAAGGGTGGGTCAGAACCTCATTTCCAGGGTTGAGGTGACAGGCCATGTTCCTGGGAGTATGCAGGGCATTCAAAAGGGGGGGAGGGGCGGGCAAGTCAGAGTTCTGTCCAGGGTCACAGAGAGCAAGAGGGCCTTCAGTTTTTTGTGTTTTTTTTTTTTTTGTACTGGGGATTGAACTCAAGGGCATTTTATCACTGAGCTACATCCTCAGTCTTTTTTATTTTTGAGACAGGGTCTTGCTGAGTTGCTTAGGGCCTCACTAAGTTGCTGAGGCTGGCTTTGAACTTGTGACCCTCCCCCCTCAGCCTCCTGAGTCTCTGGGATCACAAGCTGTATTTGACCTAAGGGGCCTCCAATTTACAAACATCCATCAAGTTACTTCTAGATGGCTGACACTATTCCAGTCACTCATCATGATGGGCAAAAGCAGAGTTGGTCCGTGTCCTCCTGCAGCTTACAGTCTGCACACCAGTGACTGTTGTTACAAACTGACACGGGACTCTGTAGGAGTGGACAGGGCTGCTAAGCTCCTAGAGCAGAAAAAACTTGGCCCAGGTGAAAATGGGCCATGTTTTGCTGCTAGAGTTACAGGGAGCTTCTCTGGGGCAGTGATAGATGGAGTAGAGAGCATGGGACAAGCTGGTGAGGAAAAACTAGCCAGAGAGAGTACATGCCACTCCCCACAGAGGGAACAGCATGTGCAAAGGCCCTTTGGCAAGTCTGAGGGTCTACAGGAAGATTTGTGTGGCTGGGCCACAGAGAACAAAGTAGCTGCTTCTGAGGTGACTGAAATGGTGGTGCCTTCAAACAGGTGAGAAAGTCTGGAAAGGAGGCATTGGTTTATGCAGATGGGGACTCTGGTTTGGGGCATGGTGCCTACGAGGAGCTGGGAGATAGGACTGGAGCTATCTCCAGTAATTGGAGAGCTGGAAATTGGGAGTGAATTTGGGCTGAAGATTGGGATTTGGGGCTCAGGACACAGAGGTGGTGAGGGAGGTGGGTCCCTGCCCCAGGTAGTATGTGTGGAGAGAACAAAGGCTGAGCAGTTGGGGACCAAAAGTTACCTGGGACCTGGGAGAGACTAGATTGTTCAAGAAGCCCCAGAAGCTTCAGCGGCCGGGACTGCAGAAAGGACAGAGAGCAGTAATGACCCTCGCCATTGCTGATGTGATGTCTTTCACATCTTCCATCTCATCTGTGTTAAAAGCTCCCTTGCAAGCTGGTGGCGGGGGGAGGGGGCAGTGGTGGCAGTTGTCATTCCAATTTTATAGATGGGAGGGCTGAGGCTTGAGACTGAGCTGTAAGACCTAGTCAGTGGCTAACAGAGGTCTCCTGCCTCCCTGGGAGTGTGGTGCAGTGACAGGGACCCTGGCTAGGAACCCTGAGGCTGGGGTCCTATGTCTTCTCCCTCTGGGTTTCAGTTCCCAGGCTCAGCCAAGGAGAATAAGTAGTTGGGGGTCAGTGGGTTCCATGTCTGCAGGAATCCTCAGGAGATTCTGGCCCCAGTGCCAGATGGGGATCCCTTGAGCTCCCTCTGGCCCACACCAACCCAGGGCCACTCCTCCCTCTCAGCTGCAGAGCCTGGAGCAGGAGAAGGGGCGCTGGCGGGTGGAGAAGGCACAGCTGGAGCAGAGTGTGGAGGAGAACAAGGAGCGCATGGAGAAACTGGAGGGCTACTGGGGCGAGGCCCAGAGCCTGTGCCAGGCTGTGGACGAGCACCTGCGGGAGACCCAGGCCCAGTACCAGGCCCTGGAGCGCAAGTACAGCAAGGCCAAACGCCTCATCAAGGACTACCAGCAAAAGTACGTGGTAGGAGGCTGTGGGTCCTGGGCCCAGGAGTATTGAGTTGCCTTCAGTGGTAGTCCCTATCCCCTCCCCTGAGCAGAGAGACAAGGAGCACAGAGGTTAGAGGACCCCACGGTGGGGTACTTGGGCCTGGAATGACTAGGGCCCAGAGGCAGCGCAGGGCCAGGCCATGGAGACATTAGGAAACCTGGGACCTCCTGACCTAAGAAGCAGCGCAGCAGAGCTGGCAGTGGATCTGAGGACAGGGATGAGGACCCTGATTCTTCGGTGGACAGAAGCCAGACCACATACCCTTACCCACCATCTGTCCATCACCTGTCTCCAGGGAGATCGAGTTCCTGAAAAAGGAGACTGCACAGCGACGGGTTCTGGAGGAGTCGGAGCTAGCCCGGAAGGAGGAAATGGACAAGCTCCTGGACAAGGTAGGCTCAAGGGTAACCTGGGGGCAGGGCTCTGTGAAGGGAGCAGCATGATTGCCCCAACTAGCACCTGTGGGCCCCAGGATGCTGCTGGCTGGGAGCTCAGGGTCATTTCCTCACTGGGGTGGTGGAGGGAGCAGGGTCATGTTTGGTGCCCAAGCTTGACCACCAATCCTTGTTTTCCAGATCTCAGAACTGGAAGGAAATCTGCAAACACTGAGGAATTCCAATTCTACTTAACAGGAATCATTCCTTGACTGGACAATAATAATCCCCTCCCATTGTCCTCCCTCCCCTGTCCTCAATACCCCACCCCACCCTCTTTCTGCCTGGGGACAGGTGCCCCGACTCCCCCTATCCTTCCACCCCACCTCCCCCCAGCTTCAGGGACCAGAGGGCCCATATCACAGGCCCCCTTAAGGTGGCCCAGGCAGACACTGGTGGCTGGAAGGGCGGCCTCCTTCTTGCCCCATAGGGCTGAGGCATAGAGGCCAAGGGAAGCTTAGGGCTGGCCTGGGTGGTGGATGGACACATGGACCTGCAGAACAAACTGCCAGACTTTACAACCTCCAGCCTTTGTCTCTGGACTGGAGTGGGGCTGAGGCTCTCCCAGCATCTCGCCAACTGGAGGCTGCTCCCTACCCATGGGGCTTCTGGATGCCCCTGGGCCTCTTGACTTGAGATTCTTTCTACCTTCTTGGCCCTTCCCTCTCCCCTATCATTGTGCTGTCTGTTGCATTCTGACCCTCCTGCTTGGGGGTGGGGGTTGCCTCAACACCTCCTGTACCTGTTCCCTATCCTGGGAAGGATAGAGCCCACCCCAGAGCCCAGCAGCTGGGCCTGGCCCTGCACTGATTTCTCATGTATCCTTCAGGGAAAGGGGAGTGAGAGTAGAGGAAAGTAGAGTCCAGGACACCTGGTCCCCAGCTCCCCTTTTCCTGGAAAGAGCAGCAGCCCTCAATTTCTCCTTGTGCCTCCCCTCTCCCAGGTGCCAAATAGCCATAACCTCCTCCTGAACTGTTCTGTGGCCTCTCTGGGGTCCAGGTTTCCTGGCCAAGCCTGGGAATGTCAGGGAGGAGGGGAGGTCAGCTTAGGGGGCCTGGTTGCAGAGACGCCAGTCTCAAGCAAGGGCAACAGTTCTCACTGAAAAGCCAGGCCCTGCCCTTCGCAGCCCTGCCCAGGGCCACACAGCCTCCCTCCACCCCGCCCCCGCTGTTTTCCAATGTTTTGACTGGAGGGCGAAATTTTACTACTCTTCTTTTTGGAGACCAGGGCTGCCCCGCTGGCAGCCTGCTTTCTAAGTGAAATCGACTCCGTTTCCCCCACTTCAACCCCAAATTGGGGCTTTGACCAAGGAGGTGAGACCCCCCCAAAACCCCTCCCCTTTCAAAATCCATCTCGTTTTGCCACTTGCTCATGCCCCTGCCCCAAGCCTGGGTTTTTGTTCATTTTTTAAAAACAACCCCTTTCCATCCGTTTCGGCCTCTCCTTGTTCCCTGTAAACAGACCATTAACATCTATCAGTATTTCTTGCCCCTCTCTTTCCCTCAGACGTGCCCCCACCCCCGGAAGAGCTGGCTGTCTCAGTGCCGGGCCCCTGTGCTTCACCCGGCAGATGGAGGGGGCGGAGCCGGTGGGCGGGGCCGCGGGGCGCTTCCGGCTTCTCGGGCTAGCGGCCGCCCCTGCCCCGTCCTTGGAGGACCCCGTCTCTGTATATAATATATATATGTATGTATTGTTCCCGGTTTTGTACGGACCATGCCCTCTGTCAGGTCGTCCCCATAAAAGCAGCCCCCAGAGCCTCGCTGCCTGATTTCTTGATTCACTGGGGGTGGAGGGGTCAAGACCACCAGTGTTGTCCCGGATCCTGATGCTCTTTCTGCAGAGTTCCCAGCCCCTGCAGACTGCCTTTCTGCCATCATTATCCCATCAGCATATATGCTTTTTGTCCAGTCCTCCTGGCGTTTTTAGACAGTCTGTCGCATCCCTTTTGCAAGGTTTCTGAAAAATCCAGAGGATGGGCTAGATATGGTAAGGTGAACCCCAAGTCCTTCCCCTGAGTACTGAAGGAAGGGATACTCTTCAGAGGTGCCCTGTCTTAGGTGCTAGAAGGATCAAACATTTCTTGGAGTGGGAAGTGACATGTCAGGGCAGTCTTGATCCTAGAAATGTCCAGTTTGCCCTCCTGGAGATGAGCCTGAGAGGTCTTAAACAGCCTGAGTCCCCTGCTCTTTTCCAGCAGATCTGGCTGCAGCCTCCAGATCTGATACTAAAGGGTCATGAATCCGATTCTGGAGTTCCAGGGACAAGCTTTGCTGAGTCCCAGAGGTGCAGGCAGAAGGGAGGGGCAGGAACTTGTGGCAGTTCCCAGTGCAAACTCCCCTGCCCTGATGCTGTGGTGCAAGTATGGGGAGAGAACCGAAGCTGGATGCTTGTGTTCCTTGACTTGGCCCCAGTGGGATTCTCAGTCTCCCCACTCTTTACCATAAGAAATAGAAGTGCCAGCCTGAAGGGCCCTGAACTCAAATGACAGCTCCTGAAGCAGCTACTCCCTGTGGATAACTGTCACACAGGTATCATTCATGTCAAGGCAAATTCTGGCATCTCCTAACTACCCCTTTAAATTTCTAGTTTATATTATTGCCCATGTAGGACCAGTCCAGTCCAAACCTATGGTTAAGGACCATATCTCTCAGAGCATCTACTCCAAAGTAGATCATCTTGGGAACACTCTGAGTGCTCTGGGGATACTGAAGACAGATCCATCCAGCATGATCCCATGATCATAGGTCATCCCATGATCATAAGTCATCCCATGATCATAGGTCACGGTTCCATAATTAAAAATCACAACCCAGGGTCACTGGAGAAACCTAGCCAATAAGTCCCAAGAAGTGACATGGCTGGGGAGGCAGACCTGGGGGTTTACTGAGGGCTTCTGCTGGTCTATCTGGGGCTAATCATCCAGGGTGGAGTCCTGCTATCACCATCTGTCATGGGTCAGGTGAGGGACCTTATACATATGTCCAGAAGGTGGGCCTAGTAGCCCCCTCGTGTTTAAGCCCTTGTATGGCTGGGTGTATTGTGGCTTTGCTGTGAGTTTCTCAAGCCTGAGATATGACTTGCCCATGAATTATCTCCATATTTGAGGCTGGGCCAGTTAGTCATGGCCAGGCCTGTGTGAAGTTTTCCACCTTAGCTCCCCTACCCCCATTCTGATCCCCTACCCAGGTCACCTGCCCAGATCTTGAGAACTTGAGCAGTTTTGCCACAACCCTAGCTGAGAATTGTCTCAGCTCCCAGCAACTTAGGCCTCATTAACAACATGGGTCCTCTCAGGTCTAATATATCCTCCCCCAGAATGCCTCACCCTAGCAGTGTCCTTATATTCTATCTATCACCACCCCCCCAACCTCTTGGGATCTATATGAGTTATATATTCAATCCCCCTACTCCAGATCTCAGCCTGTAAACCACGTCCTCTTTAAAAGACTCCAGACACAGCCCAAACAGACTGTCACCAGAGACCCTACCCCCCTCAGCAACCTATGGCTGCTAGCAGATCCTGTAGATACCCAGAGAGTCCCAGACTTCCACAGATCTCCTAGGATCTGCCCTCACCTACAGTTCCATGCCACAGACCCTTGGAGGCCTCAGACTACAGATATGGATGGGCCATGAGGGAGCTTTCCTTCTCTAACCTTTTGGCCTGTCTCATGAATTCTAGACCCTTCTCCAGCTTCACCACCTACTCCTATACCACTTTCCTTCTACCTCTCTATTCCTTCTAAGTCTCTAGCTTCTCCAAGGTAGGGGGTAACAAACACCTACCTTATGGATTTATTGTGAGGATGACATTAATAATCTGAGAAGTACTTAGTAGAGTGCCTGACACACCTCAAGCCCTGCCTATGGCAGCTAGTTGTTGATTACATGATTTCTCTGGGTACCTTTCCTCCACCACCACCTCCCGCTGGCTCACCAGGTCCAAGTCTGAGCTCATCCCTCCTTTACTCCACCCAGCTCTAGGGCTTCCTGCCTCTAGCCAATACCCACAGCCATCCAAGATCCCTCCTTCTCCCTCAATTCTGTCCAGCCAGCCTCCAATTCCTGCCACTTGATTCTCTTCTATATCCTGGATAGTTCTCAACTTGATTTTTATTCTCCCTGCCCCCTACTGTCGTTTCTTCACAGCCTCTTTTGAAGGGGCTCTTGCCCTCAGGATGTCCTCTGCAATCAGCTTTCCACTGAGGAGCCAAGGGTTCTTCCCAAAACGCAGAACTGCACCCCTCTCTCCTCCGTCAACGTTCTCCACCTCCCTCCCCCATGGCTACTAGAATGGAACGCAAACCTCCCTGTGCACCTTTGCATCATCAGCTGGTCTTCCCCTCTGGCCCCTTCACCCGCAACCCCTATGGCGATGGGCATTTCTCCCCTAACGGCCTGTAGGAATCCTCCTCCTCTAGGAATCTTCCCTGTCCACCCTCCCCAGACCAACCAGGCGCCCTCGCTTGCTCTCTCCCTCCCGGCCGAAGTGTCCTCTTGAGACCCGGCCCACAGCCCCGGGCTCGGGAGGGCCTCCCAACTCGTCAGTCCTCGGGGCTGCACGGCCAGCGCCCTCGGCCTGGACTGGGTCGGTTGGGTTCACTGCGGTCCCCTCCGGCTTCAGCGCGGGGCTGGCTGCTGGGCGGGTGTTTTGAATGAGTGTGTGAGTGAGTCAATCAGGAGTCCTCACGGACCCTGCAGACTGGGCGGAAGCCCAGTGGGGCCGCCTCCCGGCCGCTCCCCTGCCCCCGCGCCGGCTCCAGTGCGTGGCGTCTCCCGCGGGCCGAGAAGTAGCTGCAACTGGGAGACCCCGAGCCGGGCCGGCCGAGGCGCCCGCCGCCTCCTTCCGCTCGGATCCCGCCGCCTCCGCCCCCTGCCGCCCGCTCTTTGTCTCCCGGCGCCCGGCTTCCCCGCCACGCGCCCCCGCACGCCCCTTCCCGGGAACCCCCGTCGACCCCGCGGACGCGACGCTGAGCGAATCCGTCTCCCAGGCCGAGGCCCCGACCGGCCGGGCCGGCGGGGGCGGGGCGGGAGGTGGCGCTCCTCCGCTCGCGCGCGCGCTCGCTCCCTCACGCTCTCTCACACTCACACACTCACACACACTCACACACATACGCACACGCACGCACACACGGAGCATCCTTCCGTCAGGTCTCCAGGTCCAGCCCCGCCCGCGCTCCTGCTTCCTGCAAACCTTCCTCTGCCCCCAAACTGCCCCCGCTCTCCTTTTCTCTCCGGCTGCGGGACCCTCCCCGCCGACCCTCCCCCCCCACCCCGGGATGGAGCATGTTGAGCCAGCCCGGAGCCCCCCGCGGCCGGGGTGACGGTCCCTCGCCCCTCTCCTGCCCGGCCCCCGCCTTGAGCACTATGGGCCTGAGGGGTTCCCGAGGCGCCAGCCACTGAAGATGACCGATGCTAGAGGTGAGAGACCGGGCCCCCGGGGTGGACAGGGAAGCCGGGCCGGCCACTTGGCCCGAGTGGGGTTGGATGGGTCCAAGGGATAGGGACCTTTTCCCCCTATCCCTAGGGGGACCGCGCGGGGCTGGGGAGCTGGGCTGTCAGGGGAGGGGGCGGAGATAGGATTTGTGTCCCTAATCCCCTCCCTCTCTCCCAGAGAAATTAATAATAATAATAATAAAAAAAAACCACTGGTGTGGGGGAAGGGGTAGAGGGCTTAACTCCTTCGTGCCCAGCGAGGAGCTGGACTGGTGGGTTGGAGAGAAACTGGCCACCCGCTGTGATTAGGGAGAGGGGCCCTGGGAGTGAAATAGGTAGCCATCCCCACCTCCACCCACTGTCCAGTGGAGCTTAAGAGGGGTGTCGGACTCCTGCAGGCTGTCCCCAGCCTGGGGCCTGTGGAAGACTGGCCACATAGGGAGGGGCACAGCCTCCCTAGATCCACAGTCCATCCTGCCTGGCCTTCCCAGTTGCACTTTCTCTGTGTCTGTCTGTCTCTCTCTCTCTCTCCCCTCTTCCTGGGCCCCTTTCTTTCCTCTAGCCCATAGGCAGTGGCTCTCTGGCACCCCACCCTGGACCCCACTCAGGGCTCCCAGCTCTCTGCCTTCTCCACTGCTTTTCTGGCCCCACTCTGCTCTTTCTTGGCTCTTTCTTCTCAGCCCCCTTTGACATCACCAATCTCTGTGACTGTTTGTTCCTACTCCTGCTTCCTCCCTAGATTGTGCACCTCTACTTTCTCTTTCTCCTTCCCTTGGGTACCAGATTTATTTTTTAACTCACCTGCATCCCTTTCTCCCAGAAGAAAGTCAGAGGTCACTGATGCTCCTCCAGAAACTGGAAGTTGTAGGGGAAGAGAATGGTCTGGTAATGTGGCTGTCCAGAGGAGCAGGCTCATTTCTACCCTTGTTACCTGTCTAGGAGTATGTTTGTGTGTGTGTCTGTGTGTGTACGTGCTCATGTACACTTCTCACCCAGGGAAGAGGGTGAGGTTGAGTATCTAATTTTCCAAGACTCAATTTTGGAAGGAGAGGTGGCAGGGTCTGGTGACCTTCTGCATATCAAGCTTCCCTAGAATTCTCCATGGGGCGGTGTAGGGAGGGTTGGGTCCCTCATACACCCTAGGGAGCTGGCTGTTGAAGGGAAAAGCAAAAGGAGTTTGTGTTGAATTAGGTGGACTGAGAGTGGGTGTCACCTGGAAGCCCTAGCTCACCCCAGAGGGTGCTGAAAGGGGCTTCCACACACAAGAGGGTCTCAGTCCTGGACTAGGTCCTTGAATAAAGAGCACATGAGCTTTCCCTTCTCAGTGTCTAAGAGGAGACACCACTGATGCCCTCAGAGGACCCCTATTCTGATGGGAAGCTCCTGTCTTGAAAGCCCCTATTCTAATGGGGGAATACATGACCTCTCTCCCATCTGATATGGGGAGATAAGACCCATGTAGGGAATCAGTGAAGTCTGAAAAATTCTTCATTGCCCACTGATTGGAGAAGGGTGAGTTTAGAAACTATGTAGAAAAATAGACAGAAGAACTACTATGACAGCTTTCTGGAAGAGGGGACAGCTGGGCCCTAGTGTCAGATAAGACTTTGTGATCCAGTGTGAGAATTTGGTTTATTCTTTAGGGTAGCCTCCCTTCTCATCTGACCCCTCAGGGCAGGAAGAACCATTCTAGATCTTGGCTACTATTAATCCCCAGAGTTCAAGAATGTTGGGAAGGTTCTTGGAGGCCCTGCATCACCAACCCCTCCCCTACCTGCTCAGCCCCAGGTATCCATGGTGTCTGGGGTGGAGGTGGTTTTAATATGGTTTTAATACTTCCCCTAATCCCAGGCTGTGTATACCAGCTCTCCTGTCTCTACCCTGTCCCTTCCCCTAGGGGGTGTTTTTTCCTCAGGAGTACCCCAGGAATTTCAGGCCATCCCTCAAGATAGCGCTAAGAACCGGGCATGGGTCAAGGCAGAGTTCTGCTTCTTATCTTCTGCATCTCAAGTTTTCACATCTGAAAAGTGGGGATACTAAGATCTCAAGCCTGGCTGGCTCACAGTGAGACCATTAGAAACAGAGGAGGAGGGGCAGAAGGTATGTGCTCCAGCTTCTGCACATCTGTCAAGGACATGGTGTAATCCAGTGCCCTGCCCTTTTCTAAGGGACCTGAGTGTTAGAAGTAACTGAAGATCATGTCTTACTTATGCAGTGTTCCTGCCTTAAACCATCAGTGACTCCCAGGCTTCCTCCTTGTCTTCTCATCAGTATTCCCCTACATCTGCTAGGAAAACCTGTCCAAATGCTTTCACCTGCTATATCCGGCTTCCCTACCTGCCATCCCTTCCTGCTTCCCACCAAATAAGCAAACAAGAACAAAATAACGTGGTCCATCCACACTCCTTCCCGGAACATACTTGATGCTCTGAGCATTGGCTGTCCACTGTTCTGCTGTGAGTACTCCTCATACCCTCCTGCATCTGTGCGTCTGTCAAGAACAGGGAGAACTGTGAGTCTGCCTAGAACAGTGGCCCTGCTGATGGTGCCAGTTTCCTGAACAGCTCATGTTCAGAAAGGCAGGTGGTGAGAGCCCCAGTGGACGGTGGGGAGGGGGGAAGCAGGATTGGATGGTGGATGGAAGACGGATACAGAACTGATAGTTGCAAAGATGGGTGGGTGGATGGATTGAGGTTAATATTGGATGGATGGGATGGATGTTAGACAGGTGGGGGGAGGAATGGATGAATGACTGGATGGATGGGTGGATAATCAAGCAGATCAAACAGATGGGTAGATAAATAGATAGGTAGGTAGATGGTTGGAAGACCCTGGGCTCTGATTCTGTATTTACCACTAACTTGCTATGTGATTGTGGGTTAGCCACTCCCTCCTCTGTTTCTGTGTTTGTAAAATGAGAGGATCGGATTTAATAATCTCCACGACTTCTTCTATACTTGATGTTGGACAGTTTATGATGATTGAAAGCTTTTTAGGGGACACTAGTGATGGAAGGGCCCAGGACAGTGAAGAGCCCTGTGTGACGGCAACAGCCAGTTGGCTTGGACCACTGCAGGGCCAGCCTGCATCTGTGCTCAGGGTTGGCTCAGCCATCCCCTTCTGCTTGTGCCTGCTGCCCCGACACCCCCAGTGTAGAGGAGGACTCAGATGGCTTCTCTCCCAGGGCTGTAAGACAAGCTTTGAGGGAAAGTAAGGGGCCAGCAGACCAGGAGCAGGTGTAGCCATGGACCTGTCCCCTGACTTGACCAACCTGAACCTCTTATCCAGGGTCTCTTTTTCTTTCTCTCTATTTGTCTCCACAGCTGTCTTGAGTCATGGCTTCTTCAAAGCTCCGAGAACCCGCAGATGAGGTTTTTGGTAAGTTCTATTTGACTCCATCTCTACCAATAGACACAGCCAAAGAGCACTTCTTTCCAAGGCTACTGGGCATGGAATGGGGGAGAGTGGACCTTCGGGTGTTCAGTGTGTGTGTGTGTGTTGTGGCCTGGCTCTGTCACCACTATCTTAGTGGGTCCTCATCTACTTATCTTACTCTGGTACCAGGCCACATACTCGGTCTCACGTGCACTGTGTCATTTCTATTAGGTCTGTCCGTTTCACGGAAAAGGAGCATAGAATGCAGTGTTAAAGTGACTTGCTCTAAAGATCACATGATAAGTTAGGTGACAGGCCTGGGTCTAGAACCCCAGACTTCCTGACTCACTGTGCTCCATCCCTGTCTATTCCAGCCCAGACAACACGCATCACCTCCTAGTCACCTGCATAGTGCATGCGACCTCACTCCAGGGCTCTGCCCTGGAATCAAATGCAGCACACATACAACCTCACACCCCCACATTGGCCCCACATGCTGGTCTGCATGGCCTTGTCCTCAGCACATACTGGGGTGCCTGCGTGGTTACCTGTACCTTCATTTGGAAATTGACTGCCCCAGTAGGGTGGCATTCCTAGCAGGCCCTGGGGTGGAGAAGCTGTTTCCCAGCTGGATTAAGGTATGTGGCATGGGGGGCTCCCAGCTTCTTGTCCCCTGCCTTCCTATATCCATCTTCCTCCTCTCTTTTCCCTGCCACTGCTCCTGGCCACAGTGACACCAGGGCTGCTGTCTCTTGGCTTCTGAGGAACACTGCTTTCCATCCCAGGCTCCCAGGGGCTCCCCTGGGCCTCAGTCTCTGGGTCCCTGTGTCCCCACACAGGCCCAGCCTAACCCTTGGCTTAACAGGTGAGCTGTGCCTCCCCTGGGCTTTCCTGCCTCCCCTCCCCCTCCAGTCTCCACCCTCTGCTCCTTACCCAGGCCCTTCCTGTTTCCCTTTTCTACTGAGAGAGCTGAGCCTTGCTTCCTGATGGGAAAGGCAATTAAATATTCATTATTCCCACTGCCCAGGGCAGGAGGGAAGAAGAGGGGGCACAGAGGAGGGAGCAAGGAATGGCAAGAGGTGGAAGAAGGGGTTGAGGGGCCTGGTAGACCAAGGGGTCCAGGAGAGGCTGGGTGACCTCGCCTCAAAACTTCTAAACTGTCAGGGTAGAGTTAGTTGCACATGCCTGTAATCCCAGCAGGTCAGGAGGCTGAGACAGGAGGATCCCAGGTTCAAAGCCAGCCTCAGCAAAAAGCAAGGTGCTAACAACTCAGTGAGACCCTGTCTCTAAATAAAATACAAAATAGGCCTGGGGATGTGGCTCAGTGGTGGAGTGCCCTTGAGTTCAATTCCCAGTGCCCAAAACAAAACAAAAACTTTGAAACCACCAGGATTCCATTTGCCCTCTAAACTGTCCTATGGAGGGTGACCATGGTGCCCAGAGTCGGGAGCAGAAGGCCCTTCTCCTTGGCACAGGTTGGCTAAGCACCAGCTGAGTGACAGGAGGGTAGAGGGTGCAAGAGTACAGGTCTGGGAGCCAGGAGACCTGGACACCATCCTTAACTCCCTCCTACCCAGGCCAAACCTTTCTTCCTTGACCTTCAGCTTCCCAACCCATAAAATCAGGAGTTGACTCAAAGTTGCTCCCATTTGTGCTTCAGAAAGGATGTAGTGTATTTGGTGGTTACAGATATGCCAGACTGCCTGTCTTTAGCCCTGGCAGGATCTTACCAGCTCTGCGCCCTCAGGCAAATTAAGGCTGCCCTGGGGATTGGTAGTGTCCCTTCCTCCTGGGTCGTGGGAAGTAAAATGAGCCAGTAATTGTGAAGCACTTAGATGAGGGCCTGGCACTGAAGAGCCCAGTGGGGAGTAGCTCTGCCTCTTCCTCAGTTTAGTCTTCAGGGCTTGCTGATACCAGGCCACGCCTGGGTGTCTGGGTGAGGGGGTCCGAGGGCTGGGAAAGGAGGACCCCTCCCCGCTTCAGCCCAGGGGCTGTGGACACAGAAGCAAAGCAAGTGCAGCTGCGGGGCCAGAGAATTGAGCCAAGCCTGGGTCCAAAAAATCAGTCCTTAAGCCAGCATCTGCCCCCTCAGAGCCCTCAGCCGCTCATTGCCCCTGATTAGCTGCAGCAGCCTCTCTGTGTCCATCATCCCCTTTCACCAGCCCATTCCTGGCTCCTCTTTGCAGGCTGCACCAGTCCTCTGGCTGCTCCTCAGATACTCCAAGCCCAAGCCTGCACCATTCCCTCTCCGTAGAAAATTCTGGGTCTTTCTATTACCTCAGCTCTTGTCACCCAGGCCTCAGCCTGGCTGTCTAAGATGAGTAGCAGCCCTCAGGCCATCCTTGTCTTTTCAGCCATTCTGGAAAGATCCACAGGCTTCTAATAGGTGCCAGGTTCTATACAAGGCTCTGGGGAGAGTCAGCAAAGAACAAGGCAGACCAAGTCACTATCCTTAGGGAGCTTGATTTCTCGGGTGGGAGTAAGTGGGGGCCCTTATCCTGAGAGCACCAGAGACAAACAAAGGTGACCATCCTGTGAGGCCAGAGGAGGTGGGAAGAGGAGGGGTGTGTTAGTCAGCCAAAGAAGGGTGGAGTTGTGGCACTGAGGGAGGGCTGGGGCAGGTGGGGACAGAGGCAGAGGCAGGCAGAAATACATCATCATGGTGTGAGCATTGTTCACCACCCCGGGCATAGGACAGGGCCTGGTACAAAACAAAACTGGGTAGTGACATGCTCACACCATCAACAGCAAATGCCAAGTTGTAGGCATTATGATGAAGCACTTTATATGGACGATTCTACTTAATGTTCACGACGAGGCTCTCAGTAAGACACTGCTAGTTTGGCCCCTTTTTACAGATGAGGGAGCCAGCACCCATTGTAAGTAACTTGTCCAGGATCACCCAGACAGCAAGTGACAGAAGTGCCCTTGGCCTGGGCCATGCAGCTCCAGAGCCTGTGCTCTTACCTGAGGTGTGGTAGCAGAGTCTAGCGCAGGAGGAGTCCAGGAAACTCGGAAAGGTGGGCTGGGTCTCCAGGTCTTGATGCAGGGCTGAGGCTCGGGAGCTGGACTTTATATTGGCTTTGGGATCCACCCCCCACCATCCCCCACAGACCCCAGAGGGTTTCAAAGCAGGAGAGTAGGGGACATGGCAAGAAATGTGCTTTAGAAAGTTCCTTCTAACCTGTGGAAGGTGCGGGAAGGGAAGTGTACCCAGATGCAGAAGCCACGCTCTGCGATGGCAGCCGCTGGCAGAGGTGGAAGCACTGGCGAAGGCCTGAGCTGAGTTAGTGCAGTCTAGATGGGGAGGACAGGCCGCCCGATGTGTGCAAGAAAGGCCAGTCAACAGAATTTCCTTCTTTTATTAAAAGAGTGCTTACAAAAATGTTGGCATGATGGCGCACTCCTGTAATCCCAGCCACTCTGGAGGCTGAAGCAAGAAGATTGCAAGTTCGATGCCAGCCTCAGCAATTTAGCAAGACCCTTGGTAATTTAGCGAGATTGTGTCTCAAATTAAAAAGTAAAATAGGCAGGGGATGTAGTTTGGTGGCAAAGCAACCCTGGTCTAATGTCCAGGACTAAAATTAAAATAATAATAAAAACATTACAAGTCTGGGGCAAGAAGATGACATGTTTGAGGCCAGTCTCAGCAATTCAGTGGGAACCTATCTCAAAATAAAAAGGGGCGGGAGTGTAGCTCGGTGATAGAGCACTTGCCTAGCATGTGTGAGGACCTGGTTACTGCAAAAACAAACAAAATGAAAAACAAGTATTTACTAAGCACCTACTATGTGTACTATGTACCAGGCATTGTTCTGCACCTGGGGTAGTGAACAAAATAGAGAAAAATCTGTCCTTGTGGAGCTGACATTCTAATGAATGAAGAGAGACAATAAAATTACACAATATGCCAGAAAGTGATAAATGATGTGGAAAGAAAAATGGAGTGGGCTTTTGGAGTGTTTGTGGGAAGGTGATATCAACTGAGTGGTCTGAAGGGCCTCGGTGTGAAATTGAGCAAAGACCTGAAGGAGGTGAGGGAGAGAAGCAAGTAGAAATCTAGCCAAGGGCTCTGTAGGAAGAGAGACATGCAAAGGCCCTGAGGTGCAGGCTGGATTTCCGGGAGGAAGGGTTGCTGGAGGGGAGGGAGAAGAGCAGAAGCTCTGAGCAGAGGAGTGACAGAACATCGGGTTTCATTAGGATCACACAGGCTGTGTGCTGCAGAAAGACTGTATGTGGGAAAAGAAGGGGGAAGGTTTTTTTGTTTTGTTTTGTTTTTTATAATAAACAAGGCAAGAGATGATGGTACCTCACTGTGAGTAGTACCTGTCTGCTCCCTGCCCTCCTCTCTCTTTCCTGTCCGTGTGTGCATGGATGAGTGTGTGTAGACTCAATCATAAACAATATGTTTTGAAAAGTCTCAACCATAATTTTTTCCTTGGTGGTACAGGGGCCTTGCACATGATAGACAAGCACCCTACTGCTGAGCTACATCCCCGGCTCCCAACCATGTCCAGAAGTAGGGAAGAGTGCCAGTTGGACGCCTGTAATCCCAGAGGCTCAGGAGGCTGAGGCAGGAGGATCACAAGTTCAAAGCTAGCCTCAGCAATTTAGCGAGGCCCTAAGCAACTAAGCGTGACCCTGTCTCAAAATAAAATATAAAAATGTGGCTGGGCATGTGGCTCATTAGTTAAGTACCTCTTTGTTCAGTCCCTGGTACCAAAAAAGAAAAAAAAAAAAAGAGGAAGTAAAGAAGAGTGCAGTGTACTCTGCCATGTGCTCATGTCCAGGTCACCCCACTTCAACAAGCGCCGACTCACAGCCAGTCTTGTTTTGCCTCTGTCCCTCCCACTCTCTGCCCTCATTGCTCTGGATTATTTTGAACGGAATCCAAAACATCATATCACTTCCCCATAAATATTTCAGTATGTCTAGATATATTTTGAAAGTAGAGCCAACAGGAATTCTGGCTGGATCAGTTTGTAGGATGGGAGAGAAAGAAGTCAAGGATGACTCTGGGGGGTTGACTTGAGCAACGGAACCAGTGGAGCTATCAAACTGGGGAGCCTGGGGGGGGCAGCTTATGGGGAGGCAGAGCCACAGGTTGGGTTTTGGTGTGGAAGAAGAAGGAGCCCACTGGACATGTCAGCGGAAGTGCTGAGTGGACAGTTGGACATATGAATTTCCAGCTGGGCATTGGGCTGAGGGAGGACGGTAGCCCAAAGCTGCCTGACCTGGGTGGCTTAGGTAGGCAGTGGGACCTTTCAGGGAGCCAGAGAAGTCAGCAGTCTGAGGCAAGGCAGAGGGTTTGTTTTGATGTATTGAGTTGGAGGTGTCTGGGGTCCTTTGTCACGGCAAGTTCCCTGGCCATGGCCCAAGTGCCTGGGCTTGGAATTCAGGGGAGCAGTCAGCTAGAAATAGGCATAAGTGGCCATTAAGCCAGGTGTGTTTGGGGATGTTTACAGAAAAGAGGGAGGAACAAGCAAGACAGGGATGGAATGGGGTCCCAGAGGTCCAAGGGAGGTGTAGAGGGGAAAGGTGTTGAACCATGTTGAGATGCAGGAAGAGTCTTTTCTATTCAGAGACCCTAGTGCCAAGGTCAGGTCCAATCAAGCGTGAGGGCACCATTCTCAGTTAGGTACACAAAAAGTGAAACTGATCCATAAGTGCTTTTGTGTGTGACCCACTGCATTTGCCTGCTCCTCCTTGGGGTCATCATGCAGGACCTAGCACTGGGCCACAGATCCCCTGATGGCAAGGACAGGCTTCAGAGGCCTGTGGGGACTTTCTTCCTGCCACTGCCACTGGCTTGTGGGAGTCCCTCGGCCTCACTTCAAATGCAGGCCCCAAATGCTCACCAGTGTTCTCTCTGAATACTACCCTAAGAGTGACACAGCAAGTGTCCCCACAGGGCCAGTTTCTGGAGCCAGTCTAGTCAGGCTCAAATCCCAGAGGACTGCTAGCTGATGGCTCAGTCAAGTGACTCGACCTCTTTGAGCCTCAGTTTGTACAGTGTGTATAGTAGCTGTGGGGGCCTCCCCTCCCAGGGTTGTTGTTTTTCTTCTCTTCTCTTTTTTTTTTTTGTACCAAGGTTTGAGCCCCAGGGGCACTTAACCACTGAGCTACATCTCCAGCCCTTTCTTTTTTCCTTTAATTTTTAAAATTTTGAGACAGGATCTCACTGAGTTGCTTAGGACCCTGATAAATTGTGAAGCTGGCCTTGAACTTGTGATCCTCCTGCCTCAGCCTCCCCAATTACTGGGATTATAGGCATGTGCCACCACACCTGGCTCTCAGAGTTGTTTTGAATGAGAAATGATGTTTGTAGTGTCTGGTGCATTGTAGTTGCTTCTTGAGTGGTAGCCACGATCACCATAATGTCTGCAGCCTCGTCCAGTTCCTCTCCCTACAGAGCTTCCCTCCCACCATCCCTAGAGGTGCCATCCCCACTTCCCTACTTTCAGCATTGCGTATGCCACCTAGTCATTTGGAAACTCCAGACCTTAGGAGCTGGGTTGGCGTTTCCCCCTCTGACCCCTCCAAATACGGCTACTCTGTGCCTCTATGCAGGCTGTACTTATGTGCTGACATGATTAGCTCTCCCCCAGCCAGCAAAGGGGGGCCCTGAATTCCATCTCCCCTGGCCTTGCAGTGCCTGGCACTCAGAAGTACTGGCTTAATGCCTGGGGTGTGAACAAGGTGGACCTCTGGGCTCTCCACCTTCAGGTGACTGGTCTCTGCCCATTCACCTGGTTTGCAGATCTGGACTTGGCTGTGCCAGAGACCGCCAGACTGGACAGCAGTTTACACAAGGCCAGGGCCCAGCTGCTGGCCAAGGGCCGAAGACACCGGCCATCCCGCTCCAGGCTTCGGGACAGTGCCAGCTCTGCTGAGGATGGTGAAGGTTCCGATGGGCCTGGAGGCAAGGTTGGGGCAACACCCACCCACCCACACCCACACCCACACCCACACACACACACACACACACACACACACCTCTCTTTCCCCTGGGCTTTCCCTGCCCTTGGGGGAAGCCTCATTCCCAGAGAGCTGATGTAATAATAATGCTACCAAATGTCAGCCACTTCACTTCTGGCCAGCTCCTCCTATTAAAGTAGAAGCTCCATTTGCCTTGGTTGTGCCCCAGGACCCAGCTTGCAGATCAGGAAGCTGAGGCCAGCACAGGTTCAATATTGGTCACAATAATAGCTAGCAAGGCCAGGGACCTCAACCCTTCCCTATGCAGCTCACGGGGAGACCTTCCCTCCAGACCCCAGAAGGACTCAGGAGCCAGGGCTCCAGCACAGTGGGGAGGATGAACGGCTGTCCCCTCCCCCAGGTGACCGATGGCTGCGGGAGTCCCCTGCACCGGCTGCGCTCGCCTTTGCACTCGGGCCCTGGCTCCCCGGGCGGGGGCTCTTTCTGCCTGGAGCCTCCTGGTTTGCGGCGCAGTCTGGACGAGGACGAGCCGCCGCCGTCGCCGCTCACACGCTACCGGCCCCTGCACAACGCGGCCTCTCACGAGGGCCTGGCTGCCGCCTCCAGCTCGCCGCCGCGCTCCGCACCCTCCTCGGACAGCTCGCCCAGCTTCGTACGCCGCCACCCGCGCGCGGAGCCGCACAGCGAAGGTGAGCTCGGGCGGTGCCCCCTGCCGGTGCGCACAGGCACCGCAGCTTCCCCAGCCGCGCCCCGCGACACGGAGGCAGTGGCTGCGCCCAGTGGAACTGGGTGGCCATGGGGAGCTGGGGAGAATGAACACCAAGGTTCATTCATTCCTTTACAGAGAAATTACTTTGTGCCAGACACTGCTGGATCCTAGGGTACAAATAGGGCAAATAGAGGCAGTTCTTGTCCTCCTGGGGTGTGTAGTTTAGAGGAGCAACAATCGAATCATCCCTTAATTAAATGTGCAGTTACAAAGTGTAATGATTGCTACGCAGGAAATGTGCATGTGGTGGAAGTGCCTGTTATCAGGGTGTCTGACCTATTTGAGAGCATCATCAAAGACTCCTCTGAGGAAGTGACATTTGAGCCAAGATTGGAAGGCTAAAGTTAACAGTAAATAGTAGTGATCCACCAGGCGCCATGTCACACGCCTGTAGTCCAGAGGCTTGGGAGGTTGAGGCAGGAGGATAGCTAGTTCAAAGCCAGCCTCTGCAAAAAACAAGGCACTAAGCAACTCAGTGAGACCTTGTCTCTAAATAAAATACAAAATGGGGCTGGGGATGTGGCTCAGTGGTTGAGTGCTCCTGAGTTCCATCCGCAAAACTTACACCCCCCCAAAAAATAGTAGTGGTCCCTACCTTGTCAATTTGTAAAGTGCTTTACGGTTTGTCAGAGCCTTTCCTATGCATCCCAAAGATACCATGACATGGTCAGGGATTATTACCCCCACATTTGAAATGACAGAATCTCAGAGAAAAAGTGACTTATCCTAGGTCACACAGCTAGTGAAGGACACCAGAGCAAGGGTGGCTGATTCTATATCAAGAATATGCCAACCCGCCAGAGAAGATAGGCAAGCCACTGTACTGGCTCTTTGCTCCCCCTGTCCCCAAAAGATGACAGCCGGGATGCCAGCCCTCCTGAGCCTGCCAGCCCCACCATCGGTCTGGATAAGAAGACGCGCCGGAAGTTTCTGGACCTGGGGTGAGTGAAGGAGGGGCCACGGTGCAGAGCTGGAGCTGCTGGGATAAGAGCAGCTCTGCCACTCCCCTGCCCTCCCCACAGGGTCACCCTCCGCCGAGCATCCACTGGCAAGAGCCGGAAGGAGAAGGGCAGCAACCGCCTGTCCATGGGCAGCAGGTAAGAGGTGCCCACAGTGCCAGCTCCCAGCCTCCCCTTGGTGCCCACACCCATGCTGGATGATCTCTTCACAGGGAGTCGGTGGAAGGGTCTGGCCGGTCAGGGGCCTCCCCGTTCCTGCCCTTTTCCTGGTTCACAGACAGCGGCAAGGGCTCAGCGTCCTCAGGCAACGTCACTTCTCCTGCCTGCTCCCCTAAACATGAGGGGTTCAGTCCTAAGAAGTCAGCGTCACAGGTAGTCTCAGGACTTTCTTGCCCCCAAACTGGCCCCTGGATTCAGGTGACATGAGAACATACTACACCCTGGTCAGACGGGGATCCAGGCCTTCCTAGAATCCATTTGTCCACCTCAGAGGCACTGTGTGTTCCATGACTCCATCGTCACCTGACTTCATTCACTCATCTCAGTAGTTCATTGCCTCACTCATTCATGGCCTCCCGCATCTCTGACACCGGGGCCCTGCTGTTCACCCAGCCTGGGGTCTCCCTGCCTGCTAACCCCTCTGCCTGGCTCAGGTCTGATGTGACACCCTGTTAGGAGTTGGGCCACCTGCTTGTGGGGTGAAGCTTCAGAGATATAGAGGTGAACAGGACCCCAGCCTGGTGCTCTGAGAGCTCACAGCCCTGCAGGAGGAGCAAGCCCAGGGACAGAAGCCGCACTGAGTGTGTGCTCATGTTCATCGGCACTCTCCAGATCACCAGGCCCCAAGCACACCTTTTTGCTTTAACAGTGAGGTGGGGGAGGCAGGCTCACTCCTCTATTGTACAGATGACAAATGAAGGCCCCCACAGAGGGGATCTACTCACTGACTTGCACCGATTTCATTGCAAAGCTCCATGACCCCCAGCCCTGGGGATACTGTGGTGGGCAAGATCCAGCATAGGCCCTTATAGAACTGATAATCCAGTGAGGGCATCTACCAGCAGGGTGACAGCGTCACAGGTAATACCAGGAGTCAGGTCCCAAGGACACCTGACCCAACCTGAGGGAGTCCTGGTGGGCTTCTTGTAGGAAGCAGCACTGAGCCTAACACCTCTATTCCTGCCAGTTCTTCTGTCTGGCTTAGTTCTAGCCCTGTGCCCCCTAGATGGCTGCCTGCCTCTCAAAGGCCCCAGGTCATGACATGTCACACAAGTCACCATGTCCTGTGTTTGCCCAGCTCCCAGCTTGTGCTCAGAGGGCACTGAGCAACTTTGGGTGCCTAGTCCGGGACTTCAGCTCCATGTAGACAGGGTGGTGGGCTCGGGCGGGGGGCTCCCTTCCTCATCAGCACACACCCCTTCCCATATAGGAATCCACCCTGAGTGACGACTCCACGCCCCCCAGCAGCAGCCCCAAGATCCCGAGTGGTCCCCGGCAGGAGGCCAAGTGTTCCTACCCCTACCACACGCTGTCCCAGTCTTCAGATGAGGTGAGTGAGGCTGGCCGCCATGCCGGCTGGAGTCCTGCTGAGTGTGCAGGCTGCGGCCGAGCCTCTCCCCCACATTCTCCTGTCTCTGTCCCAGTTCCTGGATGAGCCCCTCCCTACTGTCCAGCACTGGACCAGCCAGCAGGTGGGCCAGTGGCTGCATAGCCTCAATCTGGAGCAGTACGCCGCTGAGTTTGCGGCCCGGCAAGTGGACGGGCCACAACTCCTGCAGCTGGACGGAAGCAAACTGAAGGTAGGTCAGAGTGCAAAGGTCATGACCCAGACAGAGCTTGAGGCAACCTTCAAGGTTGGGGAACTCCTCATGCTACTTTGACCCTCGGCCCAGCCTCCTGAGCTGCCTTTCCGCTCTCCAGCCACTGCTGTGACCTCTGACCTCTAGGCATGGTCCTAGAGGGGTCTGGTAGGGGACCCCAGTCCAGCTGGAAATCCAAGCCCACCACTTGAACTTGATCATCTAGCTCCAGCCCAAGCCTCCAGGCTGATCTTTCCCTTTGGGACGGTCATCTGACCTCTGGAACTTGAGTTTTCCAGTATCATGGGAAGCCAAGCCTCTCCCCTGGTCAGCTCTGCCCCATTCTCAGTCTCAGAGGCTAGCAGTAGTGATGTGTCATGGGGACGGTTTGCAGGGTGGCCTCTGAACTCGGCTGGAAGGTTCCCAGCCTGTCTCCAGCTGTCATCTGAGTTGCTTGGGGGTAGTGGGGAGGGGCCTTGGCCACCGACCAGCTCTGTGACCTTGAGCAAGTCACTCCCCATCTTTGGGCCTCAGCAGGTTGGGCAGGGTTGTGTGGAGGCTGAAACCCCAAGTGGAGGGAGGGAAGAAACGGATGGGGAGGCCCACCTCAAGCCTCATCTCTCCCAACCACTCCAATTCCACACTCTCACTGAGGCTTCTGATCCCTGGGCAAGTCACAGTAGGAGGCAGAGGCTGCCCTTCAGGGTGTATCGCTGGGACAGAAGGAAGCCCCGGGCTTGTGTTGGCTGGAGCCGAACCTGGAAGGTTCTGGGATGCTCTCCTCCACCCTGGGATTTTTCCCCCAGAGCCTGGGGCTCAGCAACTCGCATGACCGGGCGCTAGTGAAGCGGAAGTTGAAGGAACTGGCAGCAGCTGCGGAGAAGGAGCGCAAGGCCCAGGAGAAGGCTGCGAGGCAGCGGGAGAAGCTGCGGCGCCGGGAGCAGGAGGCCAAGAAGAGCTAGGGGCGGGCAGGGTGGCACTGGCACCTGGGTGCGGGCAGCCACCAGGCTCAGCGGGCACAGGCCTCACCAGGGGGGTGGGCCTGGGTGCCAGGCTTGGGCTGGCCTAGCCCCACACTCTTGGGGGCACGTGCCCTCTCTCACTCTGTCTGGACCCAGAGTCCCCGGGAAGGGAGACCCCAGGGAGAGGGCCCAGTAATAAATCCGATTCTGAGGACTTGTTTGGCACAGAGTTCCTGGGGGAGGCAGGTAGCAGCTGAAGGGAAGAGGGACAGAGAGGCCAGGGCTGAAGTTAAGTCCAGAAGCCCAGAGGAGCCTGGGTCAGGCTGGCCCTATGTCCTCAGGCCAGGGTGGTGCTGGGTATGAAGGTGCCTGCCTGCCTCCCAGAGGCCCTGCACCTGGGAGGGTCTTCAGGCTCAGAGGGTAGTCTGGGCATCTCAGCAGGGGACAGAGCTGTGCCTCTCCAGCTCTTCAAGGTGGCTGTGTTGGGGGAGAGCTGTTCTGCTCCCCAGGTAGATCAATGAGCATTACAGCAAGTCGCACTCAGGGTAGACTCCCAGCCAACTCCTCAACAGGAGAGCAGAGAGAGCAGGAAGAGATACGTGTGGCCTCTGCAAGGATAGGAGAAGACAGGACAAAAAAACCCTTCTTTCTCCTGCCCTGTCCTGTGAGTCCCAAGGCAAGGACAGCATCCAGGCAGCCTGTCCCTTCAGGGCCTATTCAAGAGCAGGACTCTCACCTGCTCTCCAGCCAGGACTCCTCCTCCTCCTGCTCCCTCAGAGAGCACTTGAGCTCTTTTGGGGGGCAGAACACACTTGGAAGCATCAGGGACAGAGCCCTCCCGGTGCCTTGGTGCTGCTGAACCCATGGCACTTCACCCCAGCCGGCAGAGGCAAAATCTGGGGTTCACCTGGAAGCTGCTGGATGGGAAGGGTCCACTGGCTTCCTCCATCAGCCCCGGCCACTGTGAGGAGCTCAGGGCTCTAGACCAGGCAGGGAGCACAGGCTGCAGCTCACAGGCTGCAGGGAGGGCCAGGAACGACCCCCCGGGTGGGAGTGGTGTCTGTCATTTTTGGAAAATATCCAGAGACAGGTTGTCCAGGTACCATGCTGGCCAGCAGCCAGCCCAGCTTCTGAGGCCCTGGTTAGAGCTACCAATGGAACCTGGGGCTTTGGATTAGAAACCCTTCCCCCTACTGTCTGCCTGGAGAGGTGGACAGGACCAGTGCATGCTGACCCCTCACTCCTCCCCGGGGTCTGTGGCTCCAGGCCAGGGCCCCCTCCCTGGGACCAGCACTTTCCTCCCCTCTGCCATTTGGGCTGGGAGTGGGGCTCCAGAGAGAAAGGGAGCAGCGGGGGCACCCCTGGGCTTGGCAGAGGGGCTGGTGGGGAGATGGGAAGGCATGCGTGTCCTTGAAGCCATCAGGAGCTATAGTGGGTGTCCACCTGCATGTGAAGGGGGGAGGCGGTTCTCAATTTCTTTCAATAAACATTTACAATGTGCCAGTGACCTCTCTGTCCCAGTTGTGGAGGTGGGTGGGGACACAGGGACGAAGTGATGTCATGTGTGGTGGACTGACAGGCCTGTCACTGTTGCTGGGCTGTCAAGAGCTCTGGAGGACGCTGCCTGGTATTTTACTCCTGGTACATACGGGTGAGGTCCAAGCTGGGCCAGTGTCCTGGTGGCATCGTGTATGTGACACAGGGTATGGCAGTCTATGTAAATGTGGGTGTGTGTGGCTCCCTGCCCCCAGCAATGCAGCCAGGCCACAGTCTTATTCAATCTCCTCTTTACTGTGAATGTCATTGTCACCGTCACAGCCACTGGGAGGAACACACAGCTTTAACCCCCTGTGTGCTAAGGGGAAGGGTGGGGGCACTGAGGGCTATAAAACTAGCTATGTACAGAGCAGGGAGAAAAGGAGAGAAAGCCACTCGAGTACACGCTGGGCACAGCAGGACTGAGGTCAGGCAGGACCGAGTGGGGGTGTGGTTGGCAGACGGTGTGCACGTGAGGACATGCTGGGGAGGGTGGCACAACCTTGCCAAGGTCACCTGAGGCTCCCTGGCAGGGCAAGCGACCTCAAGGTTTCCCCAGGTTCCTCTACTTTTGGGATAGACCTGGGCTGAGAACCATTCCCTACTCCCCACCTGCCGACTTCTACCTTGATGCATAGAGTGGAGGCAGAGGTGCCGGAGCAAGACCCCGGCAAGGGTCAGAGGTGCATCCTCTCCCTTCCACTCCCCCCACCAGGCCTGGGGGCACCTGGCCCCTTCCTAACACTGACGATGGACCAGGGCAGTATGCCTGTAAGTGGTGGGGAGTAAGGCAGGAGGAAGTCCAGGGCTATGGTGGGCATGAGGGGGACCCAGGACCCCTGGCAGAAGAGTGATAGTCCTGGTTTCAGGACCACCGTGGGAAAGCGTCTCTAGGGCAACCCATCGGGGTGGATCATCCCCAATCCTCAGGCATCACCCATGGAGACTGGGACCCAGGGAGACCACCCAGGTGTCTCCACGGAGACAGATTGGCACTTAAGGACCACCACAAACCAGTTACTGCAGTGACTTCCACAGAGATAGAAACTGGTCATCAGGGAGAACCACCCCCACCCATTTCCTGGGTGACGGAGAGGGTCGCCTTGGTGGCCAGACCCCAAGGCAGCAGTCTGTCCTCTCGACTACAGGGGAGGGCGGCCCCTAGCTGACTCGGTAGGTGGACGTGTTCTTGGGCTCTGTGCTGGGCACACACCAGTCGCCGGCCTCCTGGATGGTCTGGTAGTGGCGCCAGGCTGACTTGTTGTAGACGGGCAGGCGCTCCACTGAGTCTGTGGACAGGGCCTGCGGAGCACAGGGTGAGCCTCGCACCTCCCTGAGACTTGCCCACTCCTCAATAAACCACCCTTCCCCAGGTGGCTGTGCTGGTCCCTGATCTGCACGTCCCACCGCAAGTCAGCCCAGCCACCAGCCACTGGTTGATACACGACCCTGCTCAGAAGGGCAATGGAAGGGTCTGTTCCCTCCTGTGTCCTGCTCCTGCCCATTCAAGAAAGCTACTCCCTCAAAGGTCAGGGAGAAAGAGAGAGGAGGGTGGGCTGTGACCCTGATTAAGGTCACCAGGTTGGGTCCTCAGTTTCACCCTCTGAGCTGGATAACAAGACCTCCACAGTCCCCTTTCTTTCCAGGTCTAAAAGGTCAAAGGTCCCTGAAAGAGGGGTCTTAATCGTGGGCCACAGATTGAAATTCCCTCCCAAGCTGGGGGCTGAGGGTCATATGGGTTGAGGAACTGTACCCCTGCTGATTCTGAGTCTAGAAGCAGGAAAGGAGGGAGGGGTGGATGGGAAACCTCACAGCGGCCCTGCCTGCCCAGAAAACCCTTCTCCAGGGGACTCAGTGGGCAGGGCCTCACCTTGAGATAGATGACAGCATCGGTCCCAAAGCCTTCCATGGAGAAGAGCTGCAAGTCCCCCTGGAAGTACTTGGCATAGAGGCGGGAAATGGGGAGCCCATAGCCAAAGCCAGCCTGCGGGGAGCAAGAAGGCAGCAGTGAGGGGGCTGGGGCAGGTCCTGGGGCCACAGGGACCGACAGGTGAGTGGGCTGCTGGGCTGGGGCCATGCAGGGGCCTCCAGAACTGGGACGGGGAAGGGCATGGAAAAGAGAAGCCCCTGAAGCCAGACGGGGGTGTGGGACGGAGGAGGCCAGGCAGGCAGGAGGTCTGCTCAGGTAGCCAGGAGGCCTGTGCAGGTCACAGGGCTCCCCCTGGGAGTGGGCAGGGAGGCACTGGGCAGCAGAACAATGTCACAAGAAAGGCAGTAACTGTGGGGAGAGGGAGGGAGGACCGAGGAAAGGCGACAGGCAGGAAGACGACCCTCAGCAGAGGTGGACCTGTGCAGGAAAGGGAGAGATGAGGGGACCAGGAGGCCCAGACTCAGGAGAGGGAACTGTCACTACACACTGCCACGGAGGGTACAGCATCACTGGGAGATAGGGAAGCAAGAGGGAGACAGGTGGAAGAGGCGGGCATCCCCCAGGAGCTCGAGGGCCCTGGAGGAAGCCATCTTACCAGCGGGGTGCCCCCAGTGCCGGGCTGGGGGGTGGGTGCTGTGGAATACATGTAGCTGAACAGTCGCTCAATCTTCCTCAAGGGGACACCTCCACCCCGGTCACTCATCTGGGGCCAAGGGGACATGTCAGGAGCCCTCCAAAGCTTAGTTTTCCACCCACCACCACCCTGACCTTTCCATGGTTTTCCCCACCCACAAGGGCCACCTACTTTGATGGACAGATCTTCCTCACCCAAGGCCACCATAACCTTGATAGGGGGGAGAACGAGGCTGGATTCGTGGCTCTCCACTGTGGCTCGCATGGCATTCTGGGGAGGGGGAGGGAATGAGGGCTGAGCTGAGTGAGAGAAGCCAGACCTAATAGGAGCCCTGTGAATGGGGGTCCCCAGCCTCCTCACCTTGAAGAGTTCAAAGAGCATGTGGTAGAGGTGGGAGGGGACGTAGACCATGTGAATGGGCTGGGTGGAGTTGGCAGCTGCAGGGAGTCAGAGCAAGGTCAGGACACAGCCTGGAGTAACCTTCCCACCCTCCTCCAGACAGGCCCAGCAGCCCTCCTGGCCCCCTCTTCTTTGGGTAACAGCCACCCCTCCCAAGCTGTAACTGGGCAATGGCTGCCCAGCTAGAGACATCCCCAGCCTCCCTTGAGCTGGAGGGAGCCAGTGACTCACAGAAGCCCGGTCTTCCCTGTCTTCCTGAGAGCTGGGGGTGGGGAGCCAGCTCCAAATACCCTGCCACCCAGAGGCGGGCCAGAGGGAAACCTCTCTCTTAATTTAGCCACTCGGATTTGGATTCTGGAAAGGCAGCCAGACTGACGGCCCACCTCCAACTTGGCTCCCCCATCGCCCTCCTGCTAGTCCTCCTATTTCCTTCCTATCCATTTGAAATCATCTTGTTCATGTGTTTGTTGGCCCCATCCCCCAACCTCCCCAGCACCCAGAACATAAGCTCCCCGATGAGAACAGGGACCTTGTCTGTCTTGCTTGCAATAAATATTTATCAAATATTGAAATAGTCACCATCAAATAAAAAATCCTAAAAGCAGCCCTGCTTCTCCCCTGCCTGGAAAGCAGCACCCCCTTCCGGCTGCCCCCCTCACCCGGCTCTCCCCTGCCCCGCCCTCCCGGAGACACCCGCGCAGCCTCACTTGCTCACCGTTGACCTCCTGGATCTCCAGGTCAGGTGAGGCCATGTAATACTTGTCACAGAGGAGCTTGGCCATGTCATAGGCATCTGCAAGAAGATGGGGCCATTCGGGGTATGGGTGGCTCACATAGCAGGCAGTCCCCCTAGCGTGGACAGGGCATCACCAACATTACCTTCATGGGGATGTGCCCCTACCCACCGGGAATGGGTCACCCCTGGCAGGTGGACTTAGAGTGGTCCCCAAGTCTCCTGCAGGCCAGGCCCAGGGAGGCTCACCCTTCACCACGTCAGACACCTTGCAGTTGGGGTCGATGCTGCCGATGTGTTTGGGGTGGGCAGGGTTGGTGCTGCCATCAAAGATGAGGGCTGTGGGTGGGAGAGAAGGTGCTGCTGGCTGGGCCTAGAGCCTGTCCCTGCATCCCCTCTTCCCAGGGCCATCCCAGAATCCACCCTTCTCCAACCTCCTAGGGGCTCTGATCCCAAAGTGCCCCCAACCCTGGCTGCACCCGTGGCTCAGGCCACCTGGGACCTCTGCAGGCCTGAAGCATGCTTCTTTCCAGAAGTTTCTCCCCACATCTATCCCACCTGACAGCTGTCCATCTTGATTTTGAAATTAGTTGAGCATGAGAAACTCGTTGAATTTATGATGGCTATGACCTGTCAACAATCACAGTGAACCTTCCTGGACAAAGAAACTCTAAACAATAATCTGTTTATTTTAATTCATGTGCTGGGGATCTAGCCCAGGGGCTCCCCCCTCCTCCCACCCCCACCTTCCCGGCAGCTGGGCTCACTGTGCTGGTTGATGAGCATGCGGATGGAGATGCGGCTGAGGTAGAAGCGGTCCAGGAAGTACTGGATGTTCTGGTTGGAGACCGGGTCATCGCCGTAGGTGTCCTTGTACTCCAGCACGCCCTGGGCCATGGTGGGCACCACGTCATTGTGCCGGTTCCGGATGGTAACCAGGGCATCAGTGAACCTTTGGAAGGTCAGATGTTCACCCCACCCAGCCCCAGCCCTGGGGCGCCCAGACTCCTCCTGGTCTTCCCTTCCCAACCCCACGACACACAGCACCCCCTCCTCCTGAAGCCCACCCTTAATCTCCTGCTGCTGTTCCACAGTCTTCGTGCTCAAAGCCCAGAGCTCTCAGATCCTCTGAAGGGCAGCTCCCCAAGGGCAGGGCCCAGCCTCGCCCAGCTGACTCCCACACTGAGAATGGAGTCTGCTTCTCCCCTCAGACTGGACACCCCTGCCTAAGCATCTTTTTATCCTGCTGGCGTTCCGCCAGGAGCTGC